CTTTTGGTTGATGATAGTTTTCAGATTTATTGCTGTAACAACCACTGGAGGAATCTCAGCAACGTTCTTCGAGGATGTGGAGATTTTGATGTCTTTTGGACTATCTACAATGACCTCAAATTTACACCAGCTCACCTGTGCAGAACAAAGAGAACATCAGAAATATAGACCAGGTGAACCACCAGAAGACAAATTAAGGGAAGTTGCTTTGATGGCCTTACACGTTGAGGAATAGGACAACTAGAGAACTTCGAAATTGATAGCCATGAAGGTCCTTTAATTTTCCTCTTGATCAGGAATAGCTCCATTGCACTGCAAATAATAAACGCTGGTTGGATAACATGACAGAGATTCAAATCAAGTAGAAGTACAAAACAAGTAAATATCCAAATATTTTATTTTTTATCCGCGGGAGGGGGGGGGGTGTCGGTCTTTCGTATAACTGAATGATTCACAGCTGGAGCCACACGCTCCACATAGAAACTAATGCAAATTTCAAAATATACAATTGGTCTTGGCTCTTTCGGTTAATACTTTCTAGTGAAAAATGCATCACCCAGTTGAACTGATACGAAAAGAGTCTTCATAAAGAGAGATCACACGCATTAGGAAGCTTGTAAACTAGAAAACTCATCCAAAATATACTTGGAATGAGTACCACAGGAATGTTAACTAGAAAAGCCACTGGAAATATACCTGGAATGAGTACCAAGCAAGGCACTAAAGTTTTCTCCCCTGAGATCTGATGGAAGCGGTGGATCCTGGAATGACAAAGTTCAAAATCGGTAACTCAAAGACATGACACAATAATGTGACTTAACAGAGAAAATCTGAACGATTGCTTGATCTTGGAATTACAGAATCCATAATATTTCGCTAGCGTAAGTTGTATATAATGTTCTGATCCCTCATATTACATAAAGAAATAACAAATGTACCTTGAAAGGATAGTTAATCTTAAGGACGAAATTCTCCCCTCGAGGTACATCAGATCGTTCAAATGCATAATTTCTCTACAAATGTAGAAGGACAAAGAATAACAAAAGGAAAGAGAAAGATAGAAATAAGTAATATTTCAAATTGTAATTAGTAAAATTTACAGAAAACCATTTGCAAGTAAAATTATGCTTCAATCAAACCTTCACTGGTGCCATGCTAAAACTCGAGATGTTATGTTCTAGAAGGTAATTTCTACACTCAGCCTTCAATCCTGATGCCATCTCCTGGAGAGGAATTTGCAAGAGACAAATTTGCGATGGAGGGGATGAATAAATGAGCAATATGTAGAAAAAATATAATTACATGAAAGGAGAAAGCATTTCAAGAGATTACGTGCAACTGACTGAGGAAGGCAGAAGGAGAGATTTGAGACTCTTCTACATCTCTGGAGAGCTTGGAGATTGTATCACCACAAAATACAGAACCATTAGGGACCGCATAAACACATCTTTGCATGTTCTTCACAACAATACAGCAACTATGGTATGTACCTCCAGCTTTCACCTGAGCTCAAATAAAAAAATTTATCTCTCAGCTATAGATATAACATGTTATTCTATGTCGTTCAATTGTCACTTTCAAATTGATCATACAAATTTGCCAAGTCCCTAAACTGAATAAAGGCCATTAAGGTAACAGTAGGCTATAGTGGCAGAATCTACAATATTGAAACATGTACAAGTATGTTTATTTTACTTGGTCATAGCAGATAAAGATCCAAATGATAAGGTGTATGGCTAAAGATATGCAAATTGGCACCCAAACATAAGTGATGCAGAACACGTTGATCACCAGCAAAGTTAACTGAAATAGAGACACCAGATTTATAGAGACACCAGATTTTAAGAAGGTGTCGGTATGACTCTAGTTCATTTAAATTTGTATAGCGAAAGCGTACACAAACAAAGCTTTCCAAAGTACCTTCCCAAAAAGATAAATATTGCCAGCATTTGTACCATACAGCTCTTCATGGGCATCAAGTATGAAGAAAGGCAATGATCCGTCAGAATCCAACTCAAAATCTGTTTTCTCTTCAGTGTTTACAAGTTTCGCCTCAGATTCATTGCAGTTCAAGATCCCGCTACCTGCATTTCTTAAAGCCTGCCATTCAGCAGTAGCACTCAAGCCTGGATCCTTTCCCTCGCTGATTTTAGCATTAAGTGCAAATACTTTACTTTCCACCAAGGGCTCCAACTTCACTTCAGCGCAATTTACTACAGTGTCACCATCCCTTATTCCCACTGTAGACAAATTATCTGATTTTACTGCTTTCTCCCCTTCTACTTCAGCATCTAAAACCTCACTACTTTGAATATTTCTAGCCGAATTGTTTCCTTCACCCGTACTAATTTTAAGTAAGCCACCTGTTCCTTCATCTGTACTAATTTCAGGTAAGCCACCTGAAATAGACTCCCCATTTTGAGCAGTAACACGTTTCACTTCCTGTCTAGTCATCAAATCAACCTTGCCAGCTCCAAGCTTCTCAGTTTTAACATTGAGCAAGTTGGGATTAGCAACTGAACTCCTCGAAGCCTGCAATGAGTTAGAATTTCCTCTTCGCCTTCTCTCCCTATCAGCCTCATCGGGAGCGAATTCAGCTATAACATCATCTACAATGCTATCGCACGACAAATTCCTAGTCTTATCGTCTCTCTTAAACACCGAAGAGGTAAACAGACTAGAAATTCTTTGCTTACCCATCAATGCCGCAGCAGCTGTTAGCGCAGCTGATGGCTTTTTAGTAATTTGCTGCTTCTTCTCCGATGTCTTCTTCTTATTCTTCGGTCTCTCATTCTCATCTTCCGATCCTTCCGACGATAACACGCCGGCAACTGACCAATCCTCTTCCTGGCCTTCATCGCCATACCCTAAACCATCGTCATCAACAATAAACCCCCGAGCTGCTTCACGGCGCTTAGCGACTATGTCATTGTACTCATCGTCCTCAACTACATCGTAAATTGGTTCATCTATCTTGACCTGTAATCCGCCGTTCTCAGTGGAACGACGGCCACCAGTCCGGAGAGCTTTGATCCGCTCGAGCGCCTCTGCTCTCTTACCGCCGCTTGTTTTCCTGCTAGAGCGCCTTCCTTCGACTGTTGGTTGTTGTTCGTCCGACATTTTCTTGTCCCTGTAAGCCGAATTTCTCTCTTAGAGATCTGAAAACGTAGTGATGAAAAAGCAAACAATTGAAAATCCAGTTGATGATGCTGACAAAAATGGCGCGAACATTTTGTTTTCGCGCCAAAAGCCCTATTGGGCCTTCCAGCTTCAAAATATATTGGACTGGACTAACAAGTGCTAGCCCAATTTCTGTGTTTTACTGTAGAGAATATTATGTAGGGATAATTGTTTATAATAGCAGACTAATAACCTAAAATAAATAAAGTATCTACGGTTTGATTTAATTGTGCTCCACAGTAAATGTTAGCCAAAGTTTGTCAGTCGCCTCTCTCCCAAAAATCTCGCTCGCCACTCTTCCTCTGCTCGCCTCTCTCGCTTTATACACAGAAGTATATAAATTGTGTTTCTGTTTTGTATAAGCGAGAGAAAATTGTATATACACATGCAAAAATATATATCTTCGTGCTATACACTTATTATACAATTTACAAACATTTTACTTCAATTCAATTGTAAACAAATGCAAATTTGCAGCGAAAAAGGCGAACGAATTATACAATTGCTAAAAAATACAATTTTCTCTCGCTTTATACAATAGAAGCGTATAAATTGTGTTTCTGTTTTTGTATAAAGTGAGAGAAAAACATATATCTTCTTCTTATACACTTATAATTATGCAATATACATACATTTTACTTCAATTCAATTGTATGCAAAGCAAATTTTATACAAATATTGCAACGAAATAGGTAGCGAATTATACAATTATGCATTATACAATTGCAGTGAAAATATGATAGCGAATTATATAATTGCAGCGAAATAGGCCAGCGAATTATACAATTGTATATGTATAGCGAATTATACAGTTTTATGTTTGCTATGAAGCGTAATTATGCAAACTTTGCTATAGCATACAAATATGAAGTTTTTGTTTGCTATGTGTGAAAGCTGCCCTGTTATATATAATGACAAACTAATAAATAAAATTAAATGTTATAATCATACTCTAGTTTAATTGTACCCTATAGCAAATTGTTTGTTAGTCACCTCTCTCCCTCGAAAATTCGCTCGTCACTCTCCCTCTCTCGCTCGCTCCCTTTCACTTTTACACTGACACAAGTGTATAAAATGTGTTTTTGTTTGTATAAAGCGAGAAAAAATTGTATATATATGTATATATATTAGTTCCCCTATTCCAGATCTCGCTCGTCACCCTCGCCTTTATCCCTTATACAAACAGAAACGAAATGTATAAATTGTATTTCTGTTTGTATAAAGTGAGAGAAGATTGTATACACACTTGCAAATACATATATCTTCGTCCTGTACACTTATAATTATACAATACAAATATCCCCCTGCCCAATTTTCTTTTGTCTTTCTCTCTTTCTCATTTCATATATACACAAATTATACAATCGATTTGTATACAATAGCTTTCTTTTGTATATGTATAGTGAATTATACAATTAGTTTCTTTGTATATGTATAACAAATTATACATAATTATGTTTGTTATGGAATACAATTTTGCAAACTTTGTTATAACGTACAAATACGAATTTTATGTTTGCTATATGTGAAAGTTATTCTTTATTGTATAATTTAAATTTTAAGAGGACAAGTAAAAATAGACTGATAAAGTATTTTTTTTAAGTGAAATGTCATACGTGATGAATTAATAATGAATTCCAAACATCCCAAATATATATATAATTAAATAAAATACGTGTGGACGTTGGGATATTTAATTTCATAATTCATTTTATCGTGCACACAGTGATGGAGGATAGATGTGCACGTCCACTTTGCTGAAGTTTGACAGAGAAAAATCTAACACCAGCTGCAACGCCTAATTAGAGACACAAAAAAGATTGAACAATTCAATTTTCCGTTTCATTTCATTGTGCCATTATGTGTCTATACACATTTTAATTGTAAAACAAATCAATCTCCGATAAGTGAAGAAACTCAACCAGTAAACACAAGATAAATAAAAAATAAATAAAAGATAAGGAGGATCGTGTCATTCTGCTCCCGTGTTATGAAGTGTGTGTCTGGTCTGAAAATTTGAGTAGAGACTTTGGAGAATGCAGAATTATACGTGGATAAGAAGAATCGCGGCAAAAATTGTGCAAATCAACCAATGAAGTGGTTTACTTCTGTTTGAATAAGATTTATTGTTGCTATCTTGTGGTGTTCCTGTAGATGCTACTCGCGCTGGTGGTGGGGGTGACAACACTGGTGCCTCGCATTTGCGTGATGTACCATTTACCTGTTTATCAAAGAAAATCAATATATCTTTCCCTGGGAGAAATTCGACTAGAATAATGATAAAGAGAATCCAATTCTGGGGAGTGACAAATGCGGTGTTATGTTCATTTTAGCAGTTAACGTCAAAGCAAGCTAGCAAACCTTGCAATAGGCAATGCTGCTACAGTTACAAGTCAATTGGCCGTTTGCTTGATCTACAGCTTCTGGAGCTCCACCACCATCACTTCGCTGCATCAATATAAGTAAAATTCATAATTTTCTAATGGTGAAAAGAGACAATTTAAGCAAAAGAACATAAAAGTGGAGACTATACCTGATAAAAATCAACAGCAATAAAATTAGGCCACCTTTTGCCAGCTGCTTCAAAGCAAGTCTTTGTCATAGTAATTAGCGGAGCAGAATTATCCAAACAAGATTCTGTTTTGTTGGGATTATCAGGAAAATAATTCTGCAGAACCAAAGAGATTCCCGATGTACTCAAAGCAGATGATTCAGAACGACTTGGACAAGAACCTTCTTTCATCCCGTCATTTCCATCTGCAGAACATACAGTAAACATGTCAAGTCATCAATAGTTTGAGCAACCATGTCTGATGATACCAAATGTAAGAAAGATGAGCAAGTGAAGTTGCAACTTGCAAATATAAGAAAATTTACTCAAGGACCAACTTATGTCATTCAGAAACCAAAAAACGATGTTAATTGGCATAAGGCTCCTAGACTAGTTCTGAAGCATTTGCCTCTTCAAATACTTGAAAATTAAATGCAATTCAACATAAGTTGATCTCACAGGAGCTGCTAATTAAATCGCGAATGTAAACAATTCTAGATTCACTAAGTATGTCATACCAGGAAAGCGGAAAGCAACATAAGCATCAAATTAGACAAAAGCTGTTAACTCACATTGGTTTTCTACAACGTATCTCCACTCATAAGCAATGCCATCAGAAGCCTCCTTTGATGATTTAGAGGTGAAGACTACAAGACGTTGATTCTGCTTGACCATGTCATCCACTGTAGGCCAATCTTCTCCTTTTTTGGGCATACGAGAAATTGGAAACCAGTACTTATTAAGACCAGAATCATTAAAAACCTTGCTCAAGGCCTTTGGGGTTGAGACATAGTCTTCAATGAAGATTGTGACGACCTCTGATGGGTTCTTTTCGAGGAACCCTTGAATTTCTTTCAGTGAATTGATTGCAGGTTGCTGAATCATCCAGAAAGTAAGTTGCACCAATCAGCAATAACAAGAATGCTATATGAGTACCGAATCAGGTAATCAAGTAAACCTAGCAATATGTGTTAGTAAACTTACAAATGATGTAACATTGTAACACTTCCCACCAAATGAGTGACAAAGCCAGATGTCATTGTTGAAATCATACATATCAAGCATAAGTCCTCGAACGCCATTCTACAGATATCAATCAATTTCTTTAGCAGAGTTTTCACTTTAATAATATCAGAACTTAAGAAGCTAATGACTTCTCTGCTTAAGTTAACGTAGTAAAATCAGAGTACTTCCTGAAATGGTCACTATATATTTACCGATAGCATATTTTACTTTTTTACTGAAGTAATTCTCAGGTTAGTTGAATCACACAGCTCTGAATTTTCCAAAAACAAATTCTTTCAAGGCTCGAAAGATCTTTACATAGAAAAAGTAGTGGGGAATAAAGGTAGCAATTTTATCTCATAATTTTGATACATAGACTCCACTGAGAACTAAATTAGGACATTAGCATGTGGACAATTTTGATAAGATCGTTAGGTGAAAGCACATGCTTATGTCCTAAGCAAAGTAAAATATGAGTTTTTTGCAATTATATATTACCAATCTAATCTGACTTTTTTCTCTCTCGTACCTAAAAGAGTTCATCTTTTAGAGTTAGATATTCCATTACATTCAGCTGTTCAACTTTTTTTCTTCCACAACAACTTTTTGAACGCTACATTTAGCTAGTCAATCAATTGAACTACTAAAATTCCTCAAATATTCAATTCATAATTAGAGAAAGAGAAAATCACCTTGAGCTGATTAGTAATGGAATCTTCCTGGTTGGTCGGAGCAAGAATATCAGACCCAGTTGCAGATGTTGACCCGGAAATTGCAAAGGAGTTGTGGGTCGTCAGCCACGAATACTTGTTGAATGGCAAACCTTTTACCTTTCAACCACAAATAAAAGTAAAAAATTCAATATACCATTAATGAAAAAAGAAAAAAAATGAAATAGTTAGAATTGGACTTATAATATATGAAATTCACCTTGGTGGTAGGAATAGTGGGTTGAATGCGAGTACATCTGGGTCGGGTATTGCCATTAGCAGGACAAGTAGAGCATACTAATCCTTCATCACAATTACTGTCGGTACAAGTTTCTCCAATCTGTGATTAATCAAATATCCAAAACAAATAACAAATTCATGAATGCGATCTTAAGTGAGATCTAATTAAGATAATGAACTGTTTAAGAACAACATAATCAATAAATTACCTTTAGGCAAGAACAATGTTGGAATAAGATAGAAACGGTGATACAGAGAATAAGAAACTTCATAGGTAGACGGATGATCTCCTGCAAAATAGAAAATAAATAAATGCAAAGATTTTTTCATTATGAGAATTTGAGATAATTAAGAGTAATTAGCAGTAAGAAATTGAGATTAAGAGATTGCATGCCTTCATCATGTAGGCTCTGAGGTTCTTCTCTCTCTCCAAAAATCTCCTAAATCAGTTTTTATAAATTAGTAAGTTTCTCTCTAATTGTCCCCCTTTTTTAGGATATAAAAAAAAAAAAACACGTTTGTTTTACTTTCAATAGGAAACAGAGAGCTGACCAACCGTTGAGGCTGTTTGCATGGATTTATATTTTGAATTGTTACAAGTCAAAAGTCATCAATATATTTTTTTTTAATTTGAAAATAAGGGTCTAAAATTATTGTTTTTTAAACTTAGATTATATAAAAATATTTTTAATTTTTAAAACAATTTAATTCCGCTATGGGGAATTTTGCCTAATTGGAGTGTTCTTTCTTTTAATCTCTTAACGTTTTTGTTTTTTTTTCTTATCTACCGTACACACCTTTTTATAATTAACAAATAGGCATAATACATATATTAAATTCTAAACTTGACTTCAAATTTTAACTTTGACATTCAAAACTTTTATAATGCACAAACAGACACTTTAACTATCCAACTTTTAAGTGAATAAACACATGAGTCCTACATGACACAATACACGTAGAACACCACGTAAGATAAAAAAATTGACATGTAGGACATTTGTGTCTATTTGTTTAACTTTATACAAATTTAAGTGTCATTTGTGCACATTCAAAGTTGAATGACATAAATGTAATTTGAAGCCAAGTTAAAGGGCACATTTATATATTATGCCATGCAAATAATTTGCTTAAAAATCGGTCCAAACAACTTATTTCACAAAATAAATATTCGTAGTAATAAAATTACAAAGTAGAAATCCTGTTATAGTATGCTATGGTTATCGAATAAGACTAAAAAACTTACCGGAGTATTGTCAAAATTATAAATATGAAAAATTCGGAATGAACTACTCCAACTACTATTTATGATCCATAAGATGTCCTTGGTCAATGAAGATTTTTCTGGATATCTTGACAAAATTTTTGACTTCTGCAATGCCTTAGTTTTGCACCTGGATAATTTTCAAAATCTTTTGATATAGTATCTGGTAAATATTATCAACTGCTTTATGTTCAACACCATCTCCAAGGCAACTTTGTTTAGTACTCTAGTCACTTTTTCAAACTTAATATATCTTCATCAATATCAAAAGATGTTCCATCATCAACAGATCTCCAGTTTACACCGGCTGTGCAATGAGCAAGAGATCCATGATTGACTGACTTGAAAACTTTCAATCTGACAGAGGAATCTGGACCCAGAGCACTTCCCCACAGAATATCAGAAGAAGATTGAATATCTCTCTGACAGAGCACTCTCCAGTCAGTTTCTTTGGCAGTGGGGAAAGAAGTTCAAGTGTAGCTTTGCAACTCTGAGCTCTATACCTGCCTTCACTGATCTCAAGAATATCTGGAAGGGGAGCAGTGAATGGGACAGCATCAGATGAGGAGGATACTTCAACAGCTATTTTCTGATCTAAGTTTTCCAAATCCAAGTAGCTTAAGAGAAAAGAAAGTGATAAAACTACACGATGGCGTAACACTCAAATGATTTGCACCATCTGATGCATAAGTAACTCTTTCTTCCACCAACCAACCTTTCCACAATTGGTCCCCCTTTTAGGGCAGCAGGTGGTGGCTGCAGCCAACAGGAAAGGGAATGTGGAGTGGACAAAGCCACATGTACAAATAACATCAAATGCCATGAATGCAAAGTTATGTTGCATAAAAATGTCGATAGAGCATGCTCTCACCGGTACTTACAGTCCAGAGATTCGTGACAGGATCCTCAATAAAGAGAAGGACGAGGTGCCAATCCTACAAGTAACATTAAAAACCATTTAGTGACCACAAGAAATTCCTGTAAAACACATCAAAGTAGCCTTATGAGATTAACACAATCAGTACCAATGGTGCCAACAGAGAGTAAAATGCTACACATCATTTCAGCCAATTTGATTGCAAATCTCACATGGAAAAAAAATGAACCAGTGACATGCTCCAATAGACAAACAAACAAGAATCACACATCGCCTCTACAAGTAACATCAAGAACCATTTAGTTACCACAAGAGATTCCTGTAGAACACGTCAAAGTAGTTTATGAGATTAACACAATCAGTATGAATGGTGCCAACAACGGGGGTAAAATGCTACAAATCATTTCAGGCAATTTGATTGAACATCTAACATGGAACAAAAATGGACAAGTGACATGCTCTAATAGACAAAACAAACAAGAACCACACCTAAACTAACTCAATTCAATAAAATAAATCCAAACCTCACATTCTTTTCCCAACCCAACCCAAAACAAATTAAATCATAAAATCCCAAGAAAAATTCATCTTGAACTTTTTTAAAAAAAAAATAGGTAACTAAAAAACAAATTAGTGAAATTCAACAAAGGTCTTTGAAGGCTCCAAAGTTGAATCATATAAAGATATGGGACAGTTTAAGTTCAATGGAAACAGTGGATATATCTGAGATCTACTTCGCTTCTCAATGCAACAAGCACTGTCAAAACTCATAACTATGTTAATAAGTAATTTTATGTATTGGTCCTCTGAAAACAAATTTTGAATTGATACGTGCATTACGAAGGTCATGGAGAACAAAAACACTGTTAAAAACAAGCATCTGATATAGACAATGTTAACCAAAGATTAGTTTTTCGTTTTTCTTTGGATAGGAAAATATACTAAAGTAAGTAAGTGGATACAAAAATATTGAAGGACCTGCAAATTAAATATGGTTGTTAGGGAAACAGATGGTAGAAAAGATAACCTATCAAATCTCTTATCCATCAATTTGGGCCTTTATACGCTCATTGCGTAAAAATCAGGACCTGAAATGTATCCTGAGAGCTTGAATGAACCATCACTTGCATTCAATTTGTTAAGGGAGGTCAGTTGAATCCCAAACCCACTGGACAATTTTGGCAATGGAGAATGAGAGGTACATGTGCAAAGCACGTCATCCTCACTGAATGCAATGAACAAAACCTAAGAAACCAGACAGAAAATATCTTTAAGCTAGCTAGTGTAACAAAGACGGATCGGACCTTTCAATATCAGCAATTTTGAAGGAGACACTGGATTGCACAAGGGTGATTCTCAGCAGAGTCTCTTCCAGAGAATGCAAGACCTTCTTTTGGCTTCCAGATTATATATGCAAACCAAAAGATTTTAGAAGTAAAGTATGTAAATCAGTAATTTTCATTTGTTTGAATTGTGAGAAAACTAAAAGTACTTGGAGTGCATTTGCTTACTTCGAACTGGTTCGTTATAAAATACATCACCAACAATGACTGCAAAGAGAAAAATCCTAAGAGAAACTCCTTATTAGCAAACAGTCAACTCATGCATCAGATAGGCTTATACGGAATTTTACCTGTATAAGCCTATATCATCATTTGTTATTAGTGATGAAGATACTATGTTTGAAAAAAGTAACTACAGAATATACTTGTTCATGCACTCAGAAACCAAGAATGGCCATAATGGACTATGCAAGAACAAAATATACCTGATCAATTATAGCAGGTGTTGTGCTTGCCACAATGGGAATAAACTTCTTATCAACCTGTTCGAGAACTTTGGCACCCTTAATGCAGTTTTTATCAATGGTATCAGGAACCAATGAAATGCAACACGCCAGAAGTGACACTCAGTATAGTATCCTGATTCTTAAGATTATCTGTTCCTCTTCCAGTACCGCTCTGCATCTCATATTGGGAAAGACAGAAGTCCATCATCTTAACAAAATAGAGAAGAAGTCGCAAAAACATCCGAGATATAGCTAAAGTACTCAACTGTAATCTCTAGGGAGTCCCCACTATTTTATACCAGAATCTAAGAAACTTCGAGTTTTTATTGGTGAAAAATTCTGAAAAATTGATAAAAGAGGTCAGGCAAGAAAATTTTATTACAAGATCAAAACATAAGCAAGATGGGATTTGAAAGAGACTATGTGGCCTAGGAGATTCAGAAAGAGACATTGTAATTTCTAATGCTTTCATGATTAGTAAGAATGCAATTTAACATAATCTTGAAACATAGGTGAAAGAAATGAAGTTAATTAGCTGAAACATGCACTAGGAAAATTCAGCTCTTATTAGGTTAGATACAAATGACGGTTTACCTTCTTTTGACTGCCCATCGTGTGGACCTGTGCATGTCCCCCCTTGAGCTTCTAATTTGCTATTCCAGATGTTAACAAGTTTCCTTTTCACATTTGGCCTGAAGAAAGAAACATCAGATCGTGTGAGTTATTGACATAATTAGTTGAGATAATATCAGAAAGAGACCTAACGCTCCCAAGAAATTTGATAACATAACCTTTCAACAGAAAAATACACCGTCCCCACAACTTGGGGTGGAAGATTGATCATACTTATGGAATGACGGCTGTGAAAGCTCCCAGAAGATAGCTTCTTGAGAATTATGTAGTCTCCTTACTGCTCTAGGTTATGCACCATGTAAAAGAACATTAATTAGTAGCTCATGTTTTCTGTCATCATTGATTATTAACACAAACAAGCACTCAAGGACAAATTAACTAGCATAAATTGCACATCATGAACAGTCTTAATTTTAATCATCATCCGGCATGGCACATCACAAAGGGTTGTGTTTGACACAGTCGAAATTAACTTCTTATCAGCCTGTTGGAGAACTTTGACACCCTCCAGGTTTTATCAGTGGAATAAGGAACCAATGAATCACCAAAAATATGCAAGACGCAAAAGTTACATTGAGTACAGTAATCCTAAATCTTCAGATACTCTGTTCAGTACCGCTCTGCAACTCATATTGGAGAAGAAAAAATTCCATCATCTTAACAAAATAGAGAACAAGTCACAAAAATATCTGAGATATAGCTAAGGTACTCAATTGTAATCTCTGGACTGCAGTCCTTCCATTTTGTCCCATAAACGAAGAAACTTTGAGATATCGTTCGTGCAAATTCTGAAAATTTGAATAAATATGTCAGGCATGACCATTCTATTACAAGATCTGAACATAAGCAAGATGCAATTATATAGCCTACGAGACTTAGAAAGAAACAATTTGATCTCTAATAATTTCAATAATTAACTGAAACATGCACTAGAAAACTTCAGCTCTTATTCAGGTCAGCAACAAATGACAGGAATGCTTTTACCTTCTTTTGACTCCCCATCGCATGTACATCTTTTGACTCCCTAAAAAAGTTCAAACAAATTCTTGAACATCTTTAACATCCGCTGAGAAAATGACAACACAATTCTTTTGAATTTATTGAATTTCGTTAATATTTGCAACGTCATATTCTTGAAAACTACCCTTTCTTTGATTTCCTTAAACTATACCGACAAGTTCTTGAATTTTTCTTTAAGATTATTCATGCAAGAATTCTTGATTTTCTTAATATATGTCTATAAGAATATCAATGTCAATACAAAAAGCCAACAATTCTTTAATTTTTTTCTAAAAAAGCGCAAGAATTTTCCTTCTCTTTTTTAGTGGATGGAAGAATATCTGGGAAGACCTCTTTATTAGTGGGTGGAACAATACCTGGGAAGACCAGTACTATTACTTGAGCAGATAAGAACCGCGGGAAAATTAGTTTAGGGTTTCTTCTTTTGATACCAACTTCTTGATTTTTGTAAAAAAAGAAGGGTAGAATGCATACAAGAATTCTACTCTAGTACTCTAGTAGATAATGGAAAGAACACCAATAGATTGATCGCCGGGAAAATCGATTTAGGGATTCCGATGGACATCGTCATCGGAGAGTTAAAAGGGTTTTGATCGACATCGTCATCGGAGAGTTGAGAGCCGAAGTACTAAGACAGGAAAATCGATTAAGTGGTTTCGATTGACATCGTCATCGAAGAGTTAAAAGGGTTTTGATCGACATTGTCATCGGAGAGTTGAGAGCTGAGAGCCGAACTGCCGGTGAGTGTAAATGACGGTGGTTTCTTTTAAAATGGGCAGGGGGGGGGGGGGGCTTCTTTATATAATGCAGATAGATTTCAAAATAGTTAAAACACGCAGAAAAAAAGAAAACAAAAAATTAATACAGGCGTAAAAAAATATAGTTAGGCTCTAATTTTTTAAATTCCAAAAAGAAAAAAAATGAATTAGGCTGATGCATAAATAATGACTTCTTTAAAAATTCTTAGTTATAATTAAATATAAATATTTACAACTTAAATAAAAATAAATTAAGGTAAATTATACAAATATCAGCCCAACACATTTATCTTTTTCTTGTGCATTATTCCTCCTCCTCCTCCCTCGTTTGTGTCTTTTCTTTTCTTCCCATTTTTCATTTAAATTTGAGATTGTTTCGAGTTGATCAAAATTAAATAATTAGTGTATATTTCATATATAATCAATATATTATGTATAGTTAAATTAGTTTTTAGAGTGTATAAATTTGTTAAGATAAGTTATAATGGATAGTCTATAATTTATATGATATTTGACAAATTATACCATATAAATTATATTATTATATGACATTTGACAGACTATTTTATTTATTATTAGAGTTTTTAGCTTCTTTTTTAAAAATTATTATTCTTATTTTTAATTTTAAAAATAGGTGCTTAAGGTGATTATTAGATTCATAAATATATATTTTTTATTTTTTAAACTGTGCATCAAAGTCAAAATTCAAAAATAAATAAAAGAATAGTTTAACTTTAAATTTTTCATTCTACTATTGATGAGATGATTTAAACTACAATAATATCTACTTTATTAAACCTATTTTTAAGATTTAAACCATAATTTTTTATTTTTTTTTAAAAAAGTCATTTATAGATTTTGTGGCAATTTTTCTTTTTAGAAAAAACATTAATTGTTCCAAAAGAGAGTAACAGGCCCAAGGGATGAGTTCAACATCACATGTACAATCTCATTGGCTGAAAAAACGAATATTTGTTTGTGTTTCATCTTTTAGATTAAGGAAAAAGGCCAAATACTCTTAAACTATTTGAAAAGGTGTAAATATACTTTACTGATATCCTTGTCATCCAACTTTTGATCCAAATATGTCCTAATGGACGTTAGTTGCTATATAAGATATATCCAACTCATTTTTCATTTCTTTAAACACATGGAATTGTCATGTCATTTTGACCTTACCACATATTATATGAAAATGAAAAGATATTCGGACTCATAAACACCTAATCTGACCCATAAATCAACCACCTTTTAAATAAATTATCCGACCAATTTTCAATAATTTTGTTTAATTTTTATTTTTTCGATAAATTCCGAAAATGAGTAATTAATTAATAAAAAATAGAAAAATATGAAAAAGTATAAAATTAACGCCAAAAAATCACAAATAATTATAGTAACCTTAAATTCAATTTAAACATTTTTTTTATTTTTTTGATAAATTCCGAAATGAGTAATTGATTAATAAAAAGTATGAAAAAAATATAAAATTAACACTAAAAATTAAAAAATAAATACAGTAACCTTAAATTCAACAATTTCAACATTTTTTAAATTTTTTATTTTTTCAACAAATCCCAAAAATGAGTTTATTAACAAAAAATATGAAAAAAGTATAAAAATTACGCAAAAAAATTCACAAATAAAAATTAGGAAAATAGGGAAAAAATATAAAATAAAAAAAATTGTTGAAATTATTGAATTTAAGGTTACTATATTTATTTGTGAATTTCAACGTAAATTTTCTATTTTGTTTCCATATTTTTTCGTTTTCATTAATAAATTACTCATTTTTGGGATTTGCCGAAAAATATAAAATTTTTTACATAATTGTAGATTGAAATGTTATTATATTTAGGGATAATACCCAATTACCCCCTAACCTATACCCAAAATCCCTGCGACGCACACCTTATCTTTGATGAGGGTCTATTACTCCCTCCAACTTTTTTTTAAGTAATTAATTACCACTTTCGTGCCCACATGGCAATAATAATTTGAAAGGTTTGTTCAACACGCGCCGGGACCCACTTTTTCAGCTTTCAAAAAAGTAACTTTTACACTTTCCAAGTTTGAAAAGCTGGCGTTTTATGTTTTCCAAATTAATTTTACCAAAAAAAATTAAGTAACAAGGAAAGAAAGAGGGAAAGTGCTGCATGTGTGGATCGATTTCAAAGGATAGAAATTTGATTTCCAACTGAAATTTGATTTTCGATGTTGGATTTTGATAGTTAATTTTCGATGTTGGATTTTGATAGTTAATAATGGATGGAGTTTCTTAAAAAATGAAGAACCATGAAAATGGGGTTATTTTTTCAAAAGAGGAAGAAGAACTGCTTTTGAGAGAGACAATAAAATTTATTTTTGAATTTTTTTTTCAAATTGCTTTGACACGTGGCTAACTTTTATTGGTCATTGTTAGCCAAAATCTGCACTCACGCGCCCTACATGGGTGAAATCACGATTATTGCCATGTAGGCACGAAAGTGGTAATTAATTACTCATAAAAAAAAGTTGGAGGGGGTAATAGGACCTCATCAAAGATAAGGTGTGTCGCAGGGATTTTGGGTATAGGCTAGGGGTAATTGGGTATTATCCCTTATATTTATTTGTGAACTTTTGGCGTTAATTTATATTTTTTTCATATTTTTTATTAATCAATTACTCATTTTCGAGATTTATCGAAAAATAAAAAATTAAAAAAAAATTGAAATGTTAGATTGAGGTTACTATGTTTATTTGTGATTTTTTATTGTTAATTTTATATTTTTACATATTTTTCCTGTTTTTTATTAATCAATTACTCATTTTCATACTCATTTTTAGGATTTACAACAAAAATAAAAATTAAACAAAATTGTTAAAAATGGGTGGGATAGTGAATTTAAAAGGAGCTGATTTATGGGTCGGATTAGGTGTTTATGAGTCCAAATATCTTTTCATTTTCATATAAATGTTATGTGGTAAGGTCAAAATGAAATGACAATTCCATGTGACATTTAAAGAAATGAAAAATGATCGGATATAACTAATATGACAACTAACGCCCATAAAGACATATTTGGACCAAAAGTTGGACGACGAGGGCATGAATGAATCAAACTTTAAACGTAAGGTATATCTATACTTTTTCAAATAATTTAGGTACATATTTGACCTTTTTCTCTTTTAGATTAACTTATACAGTACTATACATGAAAAAACATTTTCCGCAGAAGTTATTGTTAGTTTAGGTGTTTAAATTATTTCTATATCCTTCTTTCTGTGCTATATTTACTGAAACCACCACTTTAGTAAATTCTTTTTTTGGAAACGGTAAAAAAGAAGTTAGAAAATAATAAATTAATTTTAACAAAGTAATTAGGTTTTGTTCTTTCCCACTAAAAGAATTATCTATATTCTATTATCTATTGAAGGTTGCAACTACTTACTCACCTTGTAAATTTCATTATTTTCAAAATATAAATAAGTGAAACTTAATTTTTCAAAGGGCATATAATAGAATCTCTAGATTAACAGAGCATATAATAGAACTTCTATAAATCAATAGTATTGCAATCATAAAATAATTTTATAAAAATATAGTTTAATCAATAAATTAATATTTATTAATTTGGAGAGTATTTTTCAAATTTAATGAAGTTTTCAGGAATTTAAACAAATACATTTGTAAAAACGATATTCATGAATTCGAGCCCATGATTAACGACTATAGCCTATTGGATTACTTGATTAAAAATGAAATGATAAATATTAAGAGCCAAAAACTTAAAAGAAATTATGAATACTATCGAAAAAAATAATATTGTTGGTGTGATTGAAGACCATATTACATTTCCTTTGAAACCAGTTACACATAATAATGTCACTTATTGTATCTAGACTCTTCATAATTTTTTGTGCAGTTCGAGAAGACAACATCATATATTTCGTAGATGTATTAAGAAAAGTTGAAGATAACTTCAATTATATGTAATTTTTTAAAAAAAATACTAAAATCACACTTTACTGAATTATCTTAGATATTTTTAAATTTTTAAAAGAATTGTTACTTTATGATATTAATAAAAGTATGAGACTATATATTTGTATAAAGTCTTTGAAAAATATAATATCTTATCAAAATTAATGTTTTTTACAGTGCCCCAAATCAAGATCGAAAAATAGTATTTATCTTAAAGAATTTAATAATTTATTGAATATTAATTTAGAGCTACTGTAATTTGATTTTACAAATTAATCTTCATCAAATTTAAAAAAAAAAATTAGGAAAAAGAAAAACAGGTATTTTTAGTCCCATATTATAAGCGAGAAAGACTTTATTAAATTAGAGAAAATTTGGAAAATCCATTAGCTTAAACCGTAAGCAACACGCTTGCGGTTTAAGTGTGCGTATAAATTATGCAACCAAACTCTTTCTTCTTCTCTATTTATATACCGCCATTCCACTATATTGACAATCAACAGAGTTCTCTTCTTCTCCGTCTCATGTCGATATTTTTTGGAAACACCGCTTCAAGTAAGTTGAACTTCATTCTTTATGCTTTTGATACATTGTGTTCTGTTTTTTTTATGGGTTTTTTACTGAATTTTCTTGATAACTAAAGCATATTGTAGTTTAAATCAAGTTCAACAATCGATGTAACTGGGATCCAAGAAAAGAGGCAACATAGTAGTATAACAAGAATGTGCTTTCACACAATTTTCAAATTTCTTGCATGTTCTTCAAAACTTAATTTTCTTTCTAGCTTGAGTTTGGTACATTACAATGTCTTATAAACTGTATTTTCCATACAATGCTCTATAACCTCTGTTTTTCCAAATACGCTAAGAAGAAAGACCACATAGGCTATTGCATGGGAAATTGGGAATGACATACATAAGTGAGGATTGACATAATATATAGATGCTACACTTAATAATGTCGATTTCATGAAAGTAGAGATATCATATTTACTTTTCTAGAGAAGTAAGGCGGCTTTGGAATTGGTCTAAAAGTTTAATCTGCTCCTTGTG